GGGCTGTAGCCCCTGACCTGCCTCTAGAGGTGGCTTTTCTTCCTGCGGGTCTGCATCAGTACACGCTACTGCCTACCCAGTCTCCTCGTGTTTTGGAAGGCGTGAGGAAGACAGGCTGGTACACTGCTCGGGGGCAGAGCCGATGGTTATGAACTGTTCCTGGCAGCTCTACCCACCCGCTCCACTGCTGAGCAGTGAAATTGACGCCCAGCTACTGCAGTCCCACATGGAAAGGCCTAGCCTGTGGCGGGGACTTCAAGTGCTGTGGGACTCCTAAGAATGCTGGGAAGCCAGGAAAGATGGAGGACACAGGGCTCGACTTGGGCCTTAGAAAGGAGGTGACATTTGGAGAAGTCAAGAGGAAAGTGAGAAGCACCCCCCACCCCAGGACCTTGCTGAGCTGGGTGTGGAGGAAGGAAGGCATGCAGGGCGGGGCGGGTGTGGGGAGGCCCAAAGGCAGGGACTGTGAACACGCAGGCGCAGGCCTGGCTGAGGTGACTGGGGATTCATTGAAAAATGTTTATGGGGCCGGGCACGATGGCTCACACCTGTAATCCCACCACTTTAGGAGGCCAAGGCAGGCAGATCAATTGAGGCCAGGAATTAGAGACCAGCCTGGCCAACATGGCAAAACCCTGTCTCTACTAACAATACAAAAAAGTTAGCCGAACATAGTAGCACATACCTGTGGTCCCAGCTGCCTGGGAGGCTGAGGCATGAGAATTGCTTGAACCTGGGCAGGCGGAGATTACAGTGAGCCAAGATTGCTCCACTGCACTCCAGCCTGGATGACAGAGGGAGGCTCTGTCTCAAAAAGTAAATAACATATATGTATAATTATATAATAATAGTAGCTGGGTATGGTGGTATGCCTGTGGTTGCAGCTACTTGGGAGGCTGAGGCAGGAGGATCTCTTGAGGCTGGAGGGTGAGGTTTCAGTGAGCCGTAACTGTGCCACTACATTCCAGCTGGGCGACAGGACAAAACGCTGTCTCAAAGCAAGAAGAAAAATGTTTTCAGTCTTGGTTGGAAAGGTAGTTTGCAGGCAGCCTGAAGGGCTTTTACTCTTCATCCTCTCTGAAAAATGTGTTATCTGGAAGGTTGTGAGGAGGAGGAGATGACGTGACAGGAGTCGTGTTTGGGAAACTGGCTCTGGCACCCGTGAGCATGGCATTCATCCCCGAGCATGAGCGCGTGCTGGGAGGTGGAGGGGCAGGGGTGCCAGCGAAGGCCCAGGGCCTGTGGGAGGTGGCAGTGAGGGGGCAGGATTGGCCAAGCATATGCTGCTGGCCCTGGGGATGCTGGAGGGAAAGGCGTAAAAGGAGGCCCCAGTGATGACACGGCAGGGACAGTGTCAGGTCAGCATTGTTGTCAGAGATGAGGCTTCTGGAAGGGAGCAGATGGGGCAGGGGTCCCTGTCAAGGCCACCTTATGTAGCTGGTCTTATTCGGGGAGCATTTAAGTAGCATCTCAGAATATCCTTTTTTTTTTTTTTTTTTTTTCCAAAAATAATCCATCTGTTTATTTCCATCCCTCCACATCCCAGGGCCACCTTCAGCGAGTCATTCATTCCTGCAGGTCCTGGACTTTGTGGCCTTCCTGGGACCCCAGGAGCTTTTCTAGGGCCCGGGCTGCACCTGCCTTGCTCCTGCCGTTGGAGGTACGCGCAGGTATGCGCCGGCACACGCCTCCCAGCAGAGCTGTTGACATGGGTTTTCTTTCATCATCCCCACCTAGAGAATTTTGTACATTTTGGTTCTTCCACCTCAGGAAAGACATAAGCGAGCGGGAAAAGCTCCAGAGAAGGGCACTAAATTGATCAAGGGGAAGGCAAGGCTGCCAAGAGAGGACAGACTAAAGAGATTAGGACTCTCCAGTCTGCAAAGACAAAGGCTAAGAGAGGACATGATTAAGGCTATGAAATCATGTTGGGTGCAGCGGGCTGAGTACAGCACAGCTGGGGGGTGGAGGGAAGACACCCATCAGACATTTCAGAAAGGGAAATGAAGCACGGAAAAGACAGCACTGTTTTCCAAGGTGGGTTCCCTTCTTACCAAACCCATCACCCTAGGGATGGCAGAGATTGAAAATAGAAGTCACTTCAAAAGAGATTTACTTAAGGCCGGGCGCGGTGGCTCAAGCCTGTAATCCCAGCACTTTGGGAGGCCGAGGCGGGTGGATCACGAGGTCAAGAGATCGAGACCATCCTGTTCAACATGGTGAAACCCCGTCTCTACTAAAAATACAAAAAATTAGCTGGGCATGGTGGCGCGTGCCTGTAATCCCAGCTACTGAGGAGGTTGAGGCAGGAGAATTGCCTGAACCCAGGAGGCGGAGGTTGCGGTGAGCCGAGATCGCGCCATTGCACTCCAGCCTGGGCAACAAGAGCGAAACTCCGTCTCAAAAAAAAAAAGAGAGATTTACTTAAACACATGGATCTTCCATATATAACGGCTTTCTCTGGGGTTTTTTGTTTATTTTTTGAAATGGAGTCTCACTCTCATCTAGGCTGGAGTGCAGTGATGCGATCTCAGCTCACTGCAACCTCTGCCTCCCAGGCTTAAGTGATTCTTCAAGTGATTCTCCCATCTCAGTTTCCTGAGTAACTGGGATTACAGGTGTGCACCACCATGTCCAGCTAATTTTTTGCATTTTTAGTAGAGATGCAGTTTCACCATGATGGCCAGGCTGGTCTTGAACTCCTGACCTCAGATGATCTGGCCACCTCAGCCTCCCAAAGTCTTGGGATTACAGGCGTGAGCCACCGCATCTGGGCAGCATAACAGCTTTTTAAAGAAAGCCTCCAGCTAACTGTGAAATCCTTTGAGGTTGACTTCAAAGAGCACAGCCAGGCCCTCTTCCAGGTAGACCAGTGTCCCCGCTGGAAGCAGAACCCCAAGTGGGCCGGCCACTCACTGGGCATGGTCATTCTGGCATCCATTTGCCTTGGCTTGTGACGGCCTAGCAAGGCCACGGACTGAGTGACCTCTAAGGCTTTGCTGAGCCCAGAGTTCTCTCCTCAGACACGTGAGTGGAGAGATCTCTGGGGAGGAGGGAGACAGGTAGCTCACAACAGATGTGAGGGGAATGGTGGGACCTTGAGGGGTGCCCAGGCTGGGACCAGAGTTTCCAGAGTCGGCCCTCTGGCCTCTGGTCCTGCCGTCCCTGACCCCATTGGTGGTGCTTTTAGCCACCCACAGGGAAAAGGGAAATTGGAGGAGTCGGGGGTCCTAGCTCCATAGCGTTGGAGCCTGCTCTGTCCACCCCAGGGAGGCTGAGCAAGGGGGCACCTGGGGACACCTCGCCCTCCTGGAATGGGCATGGGGTGGGCCTCTCTGGCTTTCCCTGCCACAGGCTGCTTCCAGATGCTGTCAGATCTCTGGGGAGGGCTGCTAGGGGAAGGGGGCTGCAGGAAGGGCGGGGGTGGGCAGTTGTGGCCCCGTGCCAATGCTTCGGGGGCAGAGCTGCCCTGCTTACGTGGACATGCAGCTGTTTCCTGAAGCGAGTCAACCTGGAAAAATCCAGGCTGGGTGAGGGGTAATGGGGCTGCAGAGCTGAGGACATAGAAGGAGCCAGGAGCCAAGGTGTGAGTGGAGGGCCTCGCTGGCGTGTGTGCATTCGCATTGTGGCTTCCCCGCACACACCTGCCCTGTGGCTGGCAGTGCGTGTCAGGCATCGGGCACCTCTTTCTCAAGTCTGTGCACGTGATGGTGAAGAGACCGTGGCTGGCCTGACACCAGGGTTCCCCGGGTGGCATGGAATGGATCTCATGGAGGCCTTAAAAGCACCATGGCAGGCCCAGTCTTCTGGGTGACCAAGGTGAGGTTGCCCCTGCCTCTGCTGGGTTCTGGGGGAGATGGCAAGAGGAGCTCCTGGTGGGAAAGAAAGAGGCAGTGAAGGTGGGAGAATGGCATCCCAGTGAGCGCTGCATGTGGGCTATAGCCTGGGAGAGGGCTCCTTGCCCCAGATGCCAGGGCCTCATCTCCCCTTGCCACGACCCTCACCTCTCCTCCTCCTGGGTTTTAGTTTTTGTGTGTAAATAACTATAAGAAAGCAAAACTTAAAGGTCACTTCTGGCAGGGCGCAGTGGCTCACGCCTGTAATCTCAATACTTTGGGAGGCCGAGGTGGGTGGATTACCTGAGGTCGGGAGTTTGAGACCAGCCTGGCCACATGGCAAAACGCTGTCTCTACTAAAAATCCAAAATTAGCCCAGGCCTGGTGGTGCACACTTATAATCCCAGCTACTAGGGGGGCAGAGGCAGGAGAATTGCTTGAACCCAGGAGGTGGAGGTTGTAGTAAGCCGAGATTGCACCATTGCATTCCAGCCTGGGCAACAGAGCGAGACTCCATCTCCAAGAAAAAAACACTTCCATAAAATTAGCTGGGTGTGGTGGCACACACCAATGGTCCTAGCTCCTTGGGAGGCTGAGATAGGAAAATCGTTGAATTTGAGGTTGCAGTGAGCTATGACCATACATACCCCTGCAGTCCAGCCTGGGCAGCAGAGTGAGACCTTGTCTCTAAAACAAAAAATTTTTTAAATTATTTCCATAAAAAAAAAATAGGCATGGTGGCAGGCACCTGTAGTCCCTGGTACTGGTGAGACTGAGGCAGGAAGATTGCTTGAGCCCAGAAATTCAAGGCCACAGTGAGCTGTGGTCCTGCCACCACACTCCAATCGGAGTGACAGAGACCCTGTCTCTAGAAAAAAAATAAAAAAAAAAAAACAACAAAACTCCCCCTACTGGAAGTTTCAGATTTCGCCCCACCCTGGGAGGCAAGGCTTCCATTGGAGTGAAGGAGGGACAGGAGGTCTGGGTCTGGCCCAGACTTTGGGCAAAGAGGAAAGGGGAGGCAGCGGCAGGGCTGTGGAATTGGTTGGGGCTGGGCAGGCCACGGCAGGAGGCTCCCCCTTGCCTTGCCTCTGGCTTTTCCTTAAGTTGGGCGCTGCTCAGGGGAGGGCCAGCAGCTTCTGCCCGGCTCTTGGGCACTGCATGCCGCCTCTGCCTTCTCTGAACCCTGGAGGGATTTGTGAGCTTGAGCTTTTCTGAGACTCAACCCAAAGCGGGAGTCAGCCTTCAAATGCCTTGCCTGTACCTGGGCCGTCCTGGAAGCTTTACCGCCTGGAGGTGTGTGACCCAAGGCAGGCCTCAGAAAAGCGAGCATCACCCCCAGCTCCCCTAGGATGCCTGTGAGAATTACATTTATTAATTTTATAAGCATATATATGCCCAGACCTGTGCAAGGTGCTAGAAAGCCGTAGGTGGAGAGGCCTATAAAGTTAAATAAGGTTGGCCGGGCGCCGTGGCTCACACCTGTAATCCAGCACTTTGGGAGGCTGAGGCAGGCAGATCACCTGAGGTCAGGAGTTTGAGATGAGCCTGACCAACATGGCGAAACCTTGTCTCTACTGAAAATACAAAAATTAGCCAGGTGTGGTGGCAGGCGCCTGTAATCCCAGCTACTTGGGAGGCTGAGGCAGGAGAATCGCTTGAACCCCGGAGGCAGAGGTTGCAGTGAGCACTCCAGCCTGGGCAACAGAGTGAGACTTCGTCTCAAAAAATAAAAAAATTAAATAAGGCAAGGCTCACAATCGAGGAGCGAGGCCACAGTAATTAGATTCGGAGGGATGAGGTGTAAGGAGATAGGGTGAGAAAGTGCACTGTAAACAAAAGTGGCATGCATCCGCTGGGACAGGAGTGAGGGCTGTGATGGCTTCACCCCACCCTTCAGGGTGAGGCTGGGCCAGCAGCTGTCCACACCTGCCAACTATAGGGGGCTGAGGGCTCCAGAGACAGGGCCTAGCCCAGATCCTCCCACACATAGACTTTTACATGCTCCTTAGAAGACAGAAAGTGGAAGAGTGGTTACTGGGGGAGAGGTGACTGGGAAGTTAGTGTTGAATGGAGACGGAGTTTCTGTTTGGGATGGTGAAAAAATTCTGGAGATAAATGGTGGTAAAGGTTGTACAACCATGGGAGTGTACTTAAAGTCCGCTTGAGGCCGGGTGCGGTGGCTCACGCCTGTAATCCCAGACTTTAGGAGGCCGAGGTGGGTGAATCACGAGGTCAGGAGATTGAGACCATCCTGGCTAGCACAGTGAAACCCCATCTCTACTTAAAATACAAAAAAATTAGCCAGGCATGGTGGCACACACCTGTAATCCCAGCTACTTGGGAGGTTGAGGCAGGAGAATTCCTTGAAGCCAAGAGGCAGGGGTTGCAGTGAGCCGAGATTGCACCACTGCACTCCAGCCTGGGCAACAGAGTGAGACTCCACCTCGGTAAAAAAAGTAATTCTTAGGCCAGGCATGGTGGCTCACGCCTGTAATCCCAGCACTTTGGGAGGCCGAGGCGGGTAGATCACCTGAGTTTAGGAGTTTGAGTCCAGCCTGGCCAACATGGTGAAACCCTGTTTCTACTAAAAATATAAAAAGTTACCCAAGTGTGGTAGCAGACACCTGTAATCCCAGCTACTTGGGAGGCTGAGGCAGGAGAATTGCAGAGGTTGTAGTGAGCCAGGATTGCACCACTGCACTCCCACTCCAGCCTGGGCAACAAGAGCGAAACTCCATCTCAAAAAAAAAAAAAAAAAGTGCTCCTTAGATAAAGGCAGTCCCTGTCCTTGCCCGTAGCTATGCTCAGCCCAGGGTATTTCTTTCTTTTTCTTTTTCTTTTTTTTTCAAGACGGAGTCTCTCGCTCTGTCGCCCAGGCTGGAGTGCAGTGGCACAGTTTTGGCTCACTGCAACCTCCACCTCCCAGATTCAAGCAATTCTTTTTTTTTTTTTGCCACCCCTCTCTCCAGCCCAAGCAATTCTTATCTCAGCCTCCCTAATAGCTGGGATTACAGGCACCCACCACCATGCCTGGCTAATTTTTATATTTTTAATAGAGATGGGGTTTCACTATCTTGGCTAGGCTGGTCTTGAACTCCTGACCTCTTGTGATCCACCCACCTTGGCCTTCCAAATGCTGGGATTACAGGTGTGAGCCACTGCACCTGGCCAACCCAGTGTTTTTCTTTTTCTTTTCTTTTTTTTTTTTTTGAGATGGAGTTTCACTCTTGTTGCCCAGGCTGGATTGCAATGGCACAATCTCAGCTCACTGCAACCTCCGCCTCCCAGGTTCAAGCGATTCTCCTGCCTCAGCCTCCTGAGTAGCTGGGATTACAGACATGTGCCGCCACACCTGGCTAATTTTGTATTTTTAGTAGAGATGGAGTTTCTCCATGTTGGTCAGGGTGGTCTTAGACCCCTGACCTCAAGTGATCCACGTGCCTCAGCCTCCCAAAGTGCTGGGATTACAGAGGTGAGCCACCGCGTCCGGCCAACCCAGGATTTTTCAGACTCTATTGCCATTTTGTCTGGACTGATTCTCTATTGTGGGGGGTGTCCTACGTCTTGTGAGGTATTTAGAAGCTTCCCTAGCCTCTACTCCCTAGATACAAGCACCTCCCCCTAACCAGGTGGTAACCAAAAATATCTCCACACACATTGCCAGAATGTCATGGTGAGGAGGTAGCAAACCGCCCCAGTAGAGAACTATGGCCTTAACCCACCTAGAAAAGCTGCTCACAGGAGAGGTCTAAGGAAAAGCCAGAGGCAAGATGGGGGTTCTTCCCAGAAGGAAAGCAAAGGTTGGCAGACTCAGAGGAACCCCAGGAGGTGGTGGGCAGGATTTGAAGACCCAAAGTGAGGCATACTGGGTGGGAGGACCAAGCTGTACTCAAATCTAGTGATACTAGATTCATGACCCTCCTGTGATCCCCATCTGGCCCCTCTGCAAGGGAGGAGAAGCGAGGGGTACTCGCTGAGGCTTTTCCCAATCTGAAATTGTCACGTGCCCTGCACCTGCTGGTAGTGCCTTCTAGGATGGTCGGCACCCCCAACCCAGCCCTCTCCTAGATAATGGGCAAAATGAGTATCTCGGGGGTGTGCTGTGTCTCCTTTCAAGACGACTGTCAAAATAAAAGCAAACAAAGGCAGATTGTTTAACAGACATGGCAGCAAAGCTGAAACTGCCTCTAGCTTGTGCGCAGGAGGTTCTCACTTTTAGCCTAGTCTTTGCCATTCACGCATCAATTGTGAATATTGGCTTAGCACCTGCCAGGTGCCCCACTCCGTGCTAAGTCTGGCCGGATCAAGCAAAGTCCCTGCCCTCCAGGAGTCAACAAGCTGTAGAGACAGGAAAAGGAGGGGAGGGGAGTGGCTAGGAGGAGGGCATGGAGTTGGGGGCAGAAGAGGCCAGGCCTGGCTGGGGTACCCCTCCCTCCTGGGCTTCCAGTCTGTGGTTCTTGCCCTTCTTACCAGGGATGGCTCCTTCAGTGAGCACCCAGCTCTTCCCCAGAGACTTGGAGAGTTGCTTCAGGCTATTTGACTAGGACCTTGTTCCTTCCTCTGGATGGTTTTGTCCTGCTGGTTACCCTGAGCCCAGAGCCTCAGTGAGGGACCACACTTAGCTTGAGGGAGGTTATTTATTTATTTATTTATTTTTGAGATGGAGTCTGTCGCCCAGCTGGAATATAGTGGCATGATGTCGGCTCAATGTAACCTCTGCCGCCCAGGTTCAAGCAATTCCCCCACCTCAGCCTCCCAAGTAGCTGGAAATATAGGCACGTGCCACAATGATGCCCAGCTAATTTTTTGTATTTTAGTAGAGACAGGGTTTCACCACGTTAGCCAGAATGGTCTTGATGTCCTGACCTCATGATCCACCCTCCTTGCCCTCCCAAAATGCTGGGATTACAGGCATGAGCCACTGTGCCTGGTTGCTTGAGGGAGTTCTTGATGGGTTGGATGAATCAAGGGTTGACCATGGCAGAAGTCATTGCCCCGCTGAATCGGCTCATCGAGAACCTGAAAGGGCAGGTGAGGAGAATGGGGTAGTTGGGCAGAGGACCGTGTGGACCAGATTCAGGAGTGGGGATTTCAGCTGGGGAGCTAACCTGGGGCTGAAAATGTACAGCGTGCCTCGCTTCCCCCTCATCTGCCCAGTGTGCCCAGCTGCCACCTGGTTTTAGGGGCATCTCTGGGAGCATGGCGCCTCTGGTGCTATTGCAGACTGGATTTGGTGGGCAGGGCTTCCTCATGTGCATGAATGACTGGCTTGGTCGGGAGCCTGGGGCTGTGTTGGGCCTCAGAGCTAGCCCTCATGGGTCTCTATGCTGTGGAGCCAGCAGTCAACAGGAAGTGAGTCCCAGCATGAGAGGAGGCCATGTGGTCCCAGGCAGGAAGTGAGTGACAGTGGAGTTGCCTCGAGCAGCTTTGTGGGGCTCAGATCCTGCCCCAATCTGAGGTGTCTGTGGGGCAGCAAATGGTGAGAAGAAAGGAAGACGCAGCCATGAAAACGTCTGGCTCTGACCTAAGCTTCTTAGCTCAAGACCCCATGCACACCTCCGTGGTAGTGCCACATTTGGGGCTTTGGAGTACCTGGCACAGCTGGACCCCCAGCAGTGGCTGTCAGTGCAGGGGTGCACTCCACTCTTCAAGCGGGGGCCCATGACTGAGGCTTGCAGAGTGACAGACAGGGCTTACACCAGGCAGGGGACCCTTCTGGGCTAGAAGTGCCCTCTTTGCTTAAGCAGGGAGGGAGGAGAGACATTCTGAGTCCTGGGGAGGGTCCCGACACACAGGATGGAGGCAGAGGCGATCAGCAGGGGTCTGCCGTTCCACTTTCCTTCCTGGATTTGGCCTTCCCGGCTCTGCTGGCATCAGCCCAGGCCCCCAAGCACAGCAGAGGACTTCTCGCTTTCACCGGTCACCTCCTCTTCCTCTGGTTGCAGCCCCCTGCCTCCAACTGCTGAGGAGTACACACATGCAGCTTTCTGTGGGAGCTTCCCTCCTGGAAGCAGGCCTGCCCAGCCGCCCCCACAGCAGGAAAGCAGCTTGGCAGGCCCTGCAGTTCCTTCTGCTCCCTCTCCGGGCTGCTCCATGGGCCCGGGTCCCCATCCAGGGAGGAAAGCCTACCTGAGAAGACTTCGGTTTTGTTTCTGTTTATGCTTTCCCAAGGCCCGTGTCCCTAATTGCCACGTCTGGGTGTTCGTCACCAAATAACAGTGGGTTCAGAGTTCAAGTCCTAGACTGTTAGAGCAAAAGCAGCCTTGGAAATAGGGCTGTGCAGGCCTGGGGACCCAGTGCTCTCTCAGGCTGTGCACTTGAGTGATGGGAAACCCTGGAGGGAACTTGGCAGGATCTCTGCACATTTAGCTGGACAGGCCCTCTCACCTGGCCAAACCCCTTCTGGAACTCCATGCTCTGGAAACACACAGGTGTACAGGGCTGTAAGTGCAAGGGTGTTTGTTCACTGCAGCAAAAAGCAAATCAGCCCAAATGCCCACCATCAGGGAACGGCATGCATACATTTTGGAGCATCCAGATCCATCTGCACTGGGATGGAGGGATGCCCACTCTGCTTGTTAAGTGAAAAAGCAAGTTGTAGAACATTACGACTAGTATAATACCCTTTTGGAAAAAAACATTTCTGGATCTGGACGTGTGTATGAATACATATGTAAAAACATGTAACTTACACATGATGGATGATGTATAGAAAAAAGTGTGGAAAGGATACTCACTGAACTGTTAATAATGGGTACCTAGCCGGGCTCGGTGTCTCAAGCCTGTAATCCCAGCACTTTGGGAGGCCGAGGCGGGTGGATCACGAGGTCAAAAGATCGAGACCATCCTGGTCAACATGGTGAAACCCCGTCTCTACTAAAAATACAAAACAGCTGGGCATGGTGGCATGTGCCTGTAATCCCAGCTACTTAGGAGGCTGAGGCAGGAGAATTGCCTGAACCCAGGAGGCGGAGGTTGCAGTGAGCCGAGATCGCGCCATTGCACTCTAGCCTGGGTAACAAGAGCGAAATAATAATAATAAAAAATAATGGGTACCTTAGGGGAGAGATTTTGGGGGTAGGGAGCTGAAATAGGAGCTTTAACTTTTTAGCATTTTTTTGTATAGTTTGATTTTTTTTTTTTTCTCACTTTGTCCCCAAGCCTGGAGGGCAGTGGCGCTTTCGCAGCTCACTGCAACCTTCACCTTCTGGGTTCAAGTGATTGTCCTGCCTTACCCTCTCAAGTGGCTGGGATTACAGGCATGTGCCACCACGCCCGGCTAATTTTTGTATTTTTAGTAGAGATGGGGTTTCGCCATGTTAGCCAGGCCGGTCTTGAACTCCTGACCTCAGGTAATCCACCCGCCTCAGCCTCCCAAAGTGCTAGGATTACAGGCATGAGCCACCTCGCCCAGCTATAGTTTGATTTTTTATAATATATGTGTCTGATTTTTGTAAGTAGAAAAAAAAAGACAAGAAAGACAAAACCTCCAGTGGTCTAGACCAGTCATCTCCACCTGACATTCAGGGAAACCAAGGCGCTTTCTGAGAGCAGTGCCTTATCTGAGGCTTGCTGAGCTGACGCTGTCCCTGCCTTTTTACTGGGTAGGTGTTCTCTACACAGAGCCAGCGTGGCAGAGTTGCCAAGTGCAGCCTGGTGCTTGGGGGTGTGGCAGAGCGCCGGGCCGTGGGGACCCCTGCCTGTTCCTGTCCCACACTGGACACCTCCATTCTTCTTGAGGTGTCCTGGCCCACTTGCCTCTGGATGGCTGCAGACTGAATATATACACACAACAGAGCACACAGCAGGCACCTGGCTCTCCTGTTCTTGTTTTGTCCATGAAAAGCCAGCAACCTGGAGCAAATCACAAAATTCCAGAGAGCCTCAGGTTCCTCACCTGCTTCTCAGGAAGGCTGAGAAACTCTGAGGAGGTAATAAGTGAGGAGCTTTGTCCACTGTGCAGTGATACACACAGGCAACCAGGATTATTCTTTATTTGATTTTTATTACCTGGAACCTTGGCAAGTCAGTTCTTAGACTCTAGGGGATAAAGAAATGCATTTTCCTTGAAGGGAGAATGAGGGACCTCAGTGCTCATGAAGGGTTGCTGCAGAGCCTGAAAATTGCTTGCCAGAGCCTTGGCTCTTCTGGCACTGAGTGCCTGGAAAAATCTGTGGTAGCCCAAGCCAGCGGAGAAGGCTGTGCTAGATTATGAGCTCACAGAATGCTTTTCTGGGGGGCCTCCTTCAACTCTCATGCCTCAAGAGACCAAGACGAAAGCTGTGAGGGGACTGACTATAGAAGTCAGACCAGCATGAGTCCCAGACTTGATCTGGTGGCACTGGAATCTTCTCAGGGGTGGAGTGTGGGATTCTGATTGGAATTATGAGTGTCACAAGGAGCATTCCTTTTTTAACGGGGGCTGCAGAGAAAGCTTGGACATCCTATGTCACCTCAGTGAGTTGCGGTGGGGTGGGGGAGCAGATCCCTTGAGAAGCGCACCCAGCCTGGCAAACCTGCTTGGGTTCCTTTCCTGTTTCTTAAACTGGAGTCCACAGACCCATGATTTCAAGGGTCAATCCCATGGACCCTTTGATGTTGAAAGAAAAATTGTGACTGTATGTGTTTTTACATGAAGGTATTTATGAAACACAATTTCTGTACAGAAAGTACATAACTTTCTCTAGAATTTCAGACCAGTCAATAATCCAAAACAGGCTAAGCCCACTGATCTAACCCTCCTTTTATGTATCTTTCTTATATTTGCAGGTGGAAAGTAGTGACACGCCAAAGGACACTGCGGTAGCCTCCAAGTCCCCATCCATGGCCCAGGACTCAGGCCCCTCAGAGCTGTTACCCAACGGGGACTTGGAGAAGCGAAGTGAGCCCCAGCCAGAGGAGGGGAGCCCTGCTGGGGGGCAGAAGGGCGGGTCCCCAGCAGAGGGAGAGGGTGCAGCTGAGACCCCGCCGGAAGCCTCTAGAGCAGTGGAGAATGGCTGCTGCACCCCCAAGGAGGGCCGAGGAGCCGCTGCAGAAGAGGGTGAGTTCTCAGCACGAGGGGCAGCCTCTTCTGGGCCCACCAGCATGCCCTGAGAGTCAGGGACTTGGGTCTCCAGCAGGTGCCAGGAGGGATGGACTGGGTCGTGGCTAAAGGTCTGCTTGCAAGGATATGGCCTGGAGGCTACTGGCTGGATGCAGCCTGCACGGTTTTTTTTGGCCCATAGAGTGTTTTAAACATTTAAAAAATTAGTTGCCAGTATTTAAAAATCAAAAAATCTCACATAAAAATCTGGAGTTTTGGCTTCTCCTGGAAAAAAAAAAAAAAAAGCTAGATCTGGCAACAGTGGGCTTGCATGACGCCAGTGATTGCTAGACTGGGATAATGGCTGTCCCTCCGCCGCCTTGTGTGGCTGGTTGTAGGCCTTAGTTTTCTGCAGCTCTACCTGGCCTGCTTACTCTCCCACATGCCCTGAAGCTCCTGGGGACTGCTGTATTTGTAGCCCCTGGCCTGGGCACTCAAGGGCAGCAGATACCCTGTTTGCGTCCCCGAGTGTAGAGGTCCTGAGCCCACCCTCGTTGGGCTGACTCCACTGGAAATTTGGTTGTGACAGTGGCATGGGGAGAGGGCTGGGAGAGGGTATTCTGCGCACTGCCCAGCCCAGGCGCCTTCATCAGGGGACTTTTTGGCCTAACCCTAGAAGCCTGGAAAGTTGCCCACTTTTCTCTTTCAGGTTAAGCCAGCAATTTCAGGGCCAGCCGAGCTGTAAACATGCTAGTAATGACGACAACTAGCATTTGTCCAGGGCTTCGCAGTTTACAGAGCGCTTTCTCATACATTATCACATTTGATCCTCCAAGGGCCCTGCCAGGTTGTTTTGCATATGTGCATTTTAATTTCAAAAAGTCTTCCTTCCAAGCGTGTATGATGGAATGAGTAAATTGATTAATTGGCGTAACTTATTTTGCATGGATCCAACCTAATATTCATGCAGGATAGAGAACATTTCCAGAATACAAATTTCCAAACTTATTAAGAAGCTTTTATTCATTTATATTCAACAAATATGTGTGATGCTCCCACTATGTGCAGAGCACTGCAGAGGCAAGCTGTATTCATTGTTTTATTTACTCCTCTAAACAATCTTATTCAAGAGATATGACGATCCTCGTTTTCTTTTCTTTTTTTTTTTTTTTGTTTTTGTTTTTTTGAGACGGAGTCTCACTGTCGCCCAGGCTGGAGTGCAGTGGTGCAATCTTGGCTCACTGCAACCTCGGCCTCCCTAGTTCAAGCAATTCTCTGCCTCAGCATCCCCGAGTAGCTGGGATTACAGGCGCCCACCACCACGACCGACTAATTTTTTGTATTTTTAGTAGAGGCGGGGTTTCACCATCTTGGCCAGGCTGGTCTTGAACTCTTGACGTCATGATCCACCCTCCTCACCCAAAGTGCTGGAATTACAGGCGCGAGCCACCGAGCTCCGCCAATTATCCTCATTTTTAGGCAAAAAAGATTAAGGCTGCCGGGCGCGGTGGCTCAAGCCTATAATCCCAGCACTTTGGGAGGCCGAGGCGGGTGGATCACGAGGTCAAGAGATCGAGACCATCCTGGTCAACATGGTGAAACCCCGTCTCTACCAAAAATACAAAACATTAGCTGGGCATGGTGGTGCATGCCTGTAATCCCAGCTACTCAGGAGGTTGAGGCAGGAGAATTGCCTGAACCCAGGAGGCGGAGGTTGCGGTGAGCCGAGATCGCGCCATTGCACTCCAGCCTGGGTAACAAGAGCGAAACTCCGTCTCAAAAAAAAAAAAAAAAAAAAGATTAAGGCTTAAAGAGATGATGTGACTTGCTCATGGAGCCCCATCCTTAAGGGGCAGATGCAGGGCTCATTCAATATTGGTCTTGTGTCTTTCTGCTATTTTCAGCTGTGCTGGAATGGGGCTTGGTGTGGAGATGGGTCCTGAACTGTCTCGGCCTCTTGTATGCATTCTGATACTTCCCGGGAGTGGGAAGGGCCTGGGTGGAGTGAAACAGATGAGGAAAGGGAGAATACACCGTCCTTCCCATCAACAGTGCCAGCCCTGCCCTTCCAAATGCAGCGCTCCCCATGGGCTGACTGCAGTTGACTTCGATTCCCGGGACCCCAGCACAACTCATGCCCAGCCGCTACCCAGGGTCAGGGCATTCTTTCCTGCCCTGCAGCATGGAGCCATAGCCCCAAAGCTGTTCTCTGGCCTTGAGGGTTTGTTTTCATTTTGGGATTTCCCTGCCTCCATTTCTAGTTGTTCTCAGGGGCTCCTGCTTCTGTCAGTCAACAGGTGTTTCTTAAAACACATATTCAGGGGCTGGGCAAGGTGGCTCATGCCTGTAATCCCAGCACTTTGGGAGGCTGAGACAGGTGGATCACAAGGTCAGGAGATTGACACCATCCTGGCTAACACGGTGAAACCATGTCTCTATTAAAAAAATAAAAAAAATTAGCCAGGTGTGGTAGTATGTGCCTGTAGTTCCAGCTACTTGGGAGGCTGAGGTAGGAGAATTGCTTGAACCCAGGAGGTGAAGGTTGCAGTCGGCCAAGATTGCACCAATGCACTCCAGCCTGTGCAACACAGCGAGACTCCATCTCACAAAACAAACAAAACATGCCCATTCAGGGTGTGCTAGGATCCATACCAGGGACTGGGGAAATTGTCATGAACAAAAACCTGATCCCTGCCCTCAAGGACCTCACAGTCAGCTGGAGAGACAGACATTAATGAGAAATCCACACTTAAAAAGATGGGATTCCACATGAAGTTAAGTGCTCTACTGGAAGCGAAGCATGGCCAGGGAAACTGCAACAAAGAACCTGAGCTGGCTTGGGCTGGTCAGCTCAAGCTGAAGGGTGAAGGAGTCCATCCGAGAGGGTAGAGGGAGAGAGTGAGAACAGGGAAGAAGGCTCCCAGGTGGGAGGGAGCACGGCACCCAGGAAACTGACAGATGTCACAAGGCTAGAGTGGAGAGAGCAAGGGAGAAGGCCGTGGAAAGTGCTAGGACAGACAGGCTAGGCCTTCCAGGCAGCTGAGGGACTATGGGGGTCGCAGAGGGATGACGTGTGTGACGTAATCAGCTTTGCGATTTGAAAAGTTCACTCTGTCATCTGGATCCTGGGATGGAATGGAAGAGCTGGGAAGGAGGATGGCATCAGAGGAGCTGAATGAGCAGGATGGCAGCAGAGATGAAGGGAGGGGACAAATGCCAGGGACATGAGAGGTGTGGGAGAGATGCTGTCAAGGATGATTCCTGGGTCTGAGACTTTCAGACAGGTGGACCTTCCTTGGAATCTTAGTACTGAGTACGGTGGGCGGAAACACTTTAAGTCTCCTTCACCTCCAAAATTTGGCCTTGGGGCCTGGCGCAGTGGCTCATGCCCATAATCCCAGCACTTTGGGAGGCCCAGGCAGGCGGATCACTTGAGGTCAGGAGTTTGAGACCAGCCAGGCCAACAAGATGAAACCTCGTCCGTACTAAAAAATACAAAAAAAAAAAAATTAGCTGAGCATGGCTACATGGTGGCACATGCCTGTAGTCCCAGCTAGTTGGGGGTCTGAGACAGGAGAATCACTTAAACCTGGGAGGTGGAGGTTGCAGTATGCCAAGATTGCACCACTGCACTCCAGCCTGGGCAATACAGTGAGACTCCATCTCAAAAAAAATAAAAATAAAAAACTGTTGGCCTTGGTGCACTCCTGTGTGGCTCCAGCTATCCGGGAAGTATAGATTCTGGCAGGGTCAGAGCTGGTAGGATCCCTGAAGGCTGCTGTGCACTGTCTGGTTGCTGAAACTGGTGAGATGTTACCTAGTGGGGCAGGCAGCGGCCTACCAGAGGCTCCACCAATGTGCAGCTGGCAGTGGCTTAATCAGGGTGTAGAGGCTGGGTCATGGTTCCAGCAGTCAGCTGACATAAAACAAATACTCAGTTGGGTTGATTGAGATGCGGAAGGAGACTAAGGCCCTGGAGAGGATGTGGCTCGGCCATGGTCTCCTTTTAGTTCCCTTTATTCCAGGTCTTTTTTCAGGGGATGTTCTCCTGGAACCCCTTTCATTAGCCCTGTACTGCAAAAACAGACTTTTGAAGTCAGCATTTCTTGTAGCCTGAGCATGTGCAGAAAGTACAGCCAGGAGAAAGGAAGAGGGGAAATGAGATGAGTGACAGGGACAGGGGCCAACACCCCACCGGCCCATGCTTGTCTTGGGAGTGCCCCTGCCCCCACCAGCATTCATGCCATAATGAGGATGATGGTGGCAGTGGCAATGTGGCTTTCCCTTGCTGAGTGTTGACTGTATTGGCATTTTCTGTCCTTGCTACTCACAGTGGTCCGTAGACCAGCAGCGCTGGCAGCACCCAGGAATTTAGAAATGCAGAATCCCAGGCTCCGCCAAAGACCTGCTGGATCAGAATCTGCATTTTAAACAGGTCCTCATGCTTCCCACGCATATGGAAGTTTCAGAAGCTTACCCCATGTGTGATCATAGGAGGAAGATTTTTTTTTTTTTTTGAGACAGAGTTTCGAACTTGTTGCCCAGGCTGGAGTGCAGTGGCATGATCTCGGCTCACTGCAACCTCCGCCTCCTGGGTTCAAGGGACTCTCCTGCCTCAGCCTCCCAAGTAGCTGGGATCACAGGCATGTGCCACCACACCCAGCTAATTTTTTTGTATTTTCAGTAGAGACAGGGTTTCACCATGTTGCCCAGGCTGGTCTTGAACTCCTGACCTCAGGTGATCCACCCACCTCGGCCTCCCAAAGTGCTGGGATTACAGGTGTGAGCCACTGCTTCCAGCCAGAAGATTTTTTTTTATTAAGACAGAGTCTCACTCACTCTGTCACCTAGGCTGGAGTGCGGTGGCACAATCTGCAACCTTTCCTTCCCAGGTTCAAGCGATTCCCTGAGCCTCTTGAGTAGCTGGGACTAAAGACACGCACCACCACACCTCGCTAATTTTTGTATTTTTAGTAAGGCCAAGGTTTCACCATGTTATCCAGGCTGGTCTCGGACTCCTGACCTCAGGTGATCCGCCCGCCTTGGCTTCCCAAAGTGCTGGGATTACAAGCATGAAAATTATCCCCATTTTTCAGATGGGGAGACTGAAGCTTCAGAAAGGTTCAGTTACTTACCCAAGATTATGCAGCTGGTGAAGGACCCGATTAGGGTCAGCACAAAACCCCTCTCTGCTCAGACTGAGCACAGGGCCCCCTCATGGAGATTTGAGTTCATTTTAAAGAGAACTTGGGTGGCCCCTGGCTGAGTATAGCCTCAGACTATGAGGCGAGCGTTAGAAGCACCCTGGCCTCCCCTGCCCCCAGGACCTGAGATGCGCTAGGGTCACGTTCTGTCCCACCAGGGCCACCCTGGAAAGACACAACCACCTGGCCCAGCCGGTGACCCTGGGCCTGGGCCAGGAGTAGCTGGGCTGCATGGGCGGTACTGAGAGAGCAGCTGACCCTCCCTGACTCACGACAAGTGCCGCATTCCGAGGCAGCCGGGCAAGGCTGGAAAGTGTGCGTGTGTGCGTGCGTGTGTGTGTGTGTGTGTGTATCTGTGTGTGTGTGTGTGTGTGTGTGTGTGTGTGTGTGTGTGTTCACTCAAGTGGGCATGCGCAGAGTCTGTCAGGGAGAAAATTCCAGAAAGAAGCCAGTTGGAAACTGCATAAGGAAAAATTGTTCTGTTTTGGAGAGCCTGGAGGCTGGGAAATTAGGAAGGGGTCACATCGAGAAATAACAACAGAGAGGGAGCTGGCCGGGGCATCTAGGCCCCTGAGAGTTCATTTCAGCTTCCGCCTTAAGTCTGAGACCCCCCCCCCGCCCCCCGACCCAGGTCTCAGCTTTCGGCAAAATTTTAAGTGCTGAACAAGTACTCAATGATCTCTACAAAGCCTTTCAACCCTGATTTTCTGATATTCTAATGAGTAAATCTCCGTAAAAGTAATTAAATGCCATGGAGAGTCCCAGGTAGGAAATGTTCGAGGGAGAGAATACAGTCGGGAGCCCCAAGTCCGGGTCCCAGAGCCAGCTCTGAGGTCCCTCCCTCCCCGCCCCCGCCCCAGGGCTGACGAAGCGTTTCCCATCCCCGGAGCCCCGGGGGGTCAGGGTCCACCAGGCCGCGCCCCCCACGCCTGATCGCAGGCAGGCGCCCCCTGCTGGCAGCCCGGAGCCTCACCGGGCGGAGCAACGAGATCTGGGAGGAGAGGGAAGCCCTGGCCTGGGAGCGGGGAGGCCCCGGACAGGCTGGAGGGGGCCCCCGCGGGAAAGGTGGGGAGCTGGCTGTGGTGGGAGAGAGGACAGAAAGGAAACAGGGAGGAAGAGCCAGACAAGACGGGTGAGCCAGCCCTTAAAAGGCCGGTCACGAACAAAGCGCTGGCGAGTACGCAGCCGCCCACGCGCACAGGTGCCCGCGACAGACGCACCCCGTCCCCGCCCACGCCGCCCCCGTGGGCAGAGCCCGGCGCCAGACCCGCACCCACGGCGGCCCTCCTGCCTCGCTCCCCCGGTACTCCTGGGCCTAGCTGGCGGTAGTCGGTAGTCGCTGTCACCCAGGACAGAACCACTGAAGGCAGCGCTGTCCTGGGCGCCAGGGGGCGGCCCAAAGCCAGCCCAGGACCCCCTGGCAGGAGGGAAGGGAGCGGCCCCCCCGCGCTGAGGACCCGCGGCCGTGAACACTGCTGCTGGCTTCCGCTCCACAGCCAGGAGATGAAGTCGGGGCTGTTTTTTCCGTTTCAGGCTCTTTGTGTCCCCCCACCCCAAGCTCCCATGAACCAGCCTTAGTGACCTTCCTGATGTGTGCCCAGGCCCCATACGCGCTTGGCTCCCAAGAAGGAAGCTCAGGGGTCAGGGGCCCAGGTGGCCGGAGGGCCCACTCCCCCATCTCCAGCAAGAAGCTAGGGGAGGCAGAATTAGCCAGCCCGCAGCCTGCGGGGTCCTGGGCCTGGAAAGGGCGCCTGCAAAGGGTGGTGAGGACCTGGGCATGAGTGCAGGGGTCCCTGGGAGAAGTGCAGCTCCTCTCTTACTCGGGGCCTGGAGAAGCACAGGGAGAGGGCAGGGTGTCAATAGGGAAGTTGACACTTCCCTGTCAAGACGGGGAGTCAGGGCCCAGTAAAGGAAATGAATGCCCTAGGGAAGGAGAACCACACTAACATGCATTAAGCACTTACAGTATGCCCGGCCCCACACTAGGCACTTAATGTTCACCATAATCTAATGACTTTAGAACATTTATCTACCTTGATATAGTGGGGAAACAGGCCAGGAGAAGTTACAGAGGTCTCACTGAAATCCAAACCCAAGTCTTCCAGATGAAAGGCTGAGCTCAGGGGCCTGAGCATGGGGCAGGGAGTGGAGTGACAGAGGTGAGATTAGTAATAGAGCCATAATATTTGAACCACAGGCAGACTTTGGAAATCGCATCCAGTATCCTTATATTCCAGATGAGGAAACTGAGTCTCGTAGAGAGGGTCTTGTTCCAGTTGCCCCAGTACATGCCCTCATGCCCAGGAGGCCTCTTCGCAAACACTCCGTTGTAAGGCCAGGGAGGCCACAAAGGCTGCTCCCTCTGGCCCAGGCCCTCCTGCACCCCCTCTGGGGATGGGGGTCTCTTGACTGGGAGCAGCAGATGGGAGTATTTTTAGTCCCCTTCTGTGTACCTGAGACAGAGTCAACGGGCCAGAAACCCAGCTCTGACTTTCCTTGTGTTCCCTCTTGCCTGGGCCTCAAGGCCTGCCCCTGCCCGAGTTCTTTCTCTGCCCTAGGCCCTGCTGGGTCCTCAGGGTCAACACTGTGCCTGGCATGTGGCAGGCCATCATGGTTGAGACATGAACAGCTAAATGGCTGGAGGACCCCGTCCCCTGTGGCAGGGACCTCAGGCACAAGGTGGGGCCTCTGAGCCACTCCAGTAACTCTGTGACCGCGACCAGTCCTTTTGTTCTTCCCTCTCTACAGGCAAAGAACAGAAGGAGACCAACATCGAAACCATGAAAATGGAGGCAAGTGTTCCACCCCCCAGGGGCTCTGTGGATCCTGATTCTAGAAGAAGGCCATGGGTGGCGAGTGTGTGTGAGGGGGTGGAGGGTGGAGGGTGGAGGGTGGAGGGTGGGCCCCACCCCCTTCTTTACACATCCCTCTGTGGGAAGGAGAGGAAGTGGGTGTGGAGGTTGGAAGTCCCCCAACAAGGCAGCCGGCTCATCCCCCTCCAGAGGCCAGGCGCCTCCCCTCTTGGCCTGTGGCTGTGTCCATGTGCCCCCACGCCACCACGCATGTCCCTCACTCCTCCAGCCCACACAGGGCCTGCCCAGCAGGGGTGCCCTTTCTGGCCAGGAGCCAGCATCCATGTTGTGTCTGAGGTGTGTGCCTCCTCAGTGGGTCTTCAGTGCCCACCCTGAGGCCCTAATACCTGTCTGTCTCTCTGTCCTAGGGCTCCCGGGGCCGGCTGCGGGGTGGCTTGGGCTGGGAGTCCAGCCTCCGTCAGCGGCCCATGCCACGGCTCACCTTCCAGGCGGGGGATCCGTACTACATCAGCAAGCGTAAGCGGGACGAGTGGCTGGCACGCTGGAAAAGGGAGGTGAGGTGCCTTCTGACCTGAGCCCCAACCTGTCCCACAGAACTGGAAAACCAGAAGTGATGAGCCTCAGTTTCCCCTTCAGGCTAACCCTTAAAATTTAAGCGGCTCCTAGGGAGCCGCTTAATCCCTAGGCAGTGATGACTGGCTCATCTGCCCCTTCAGCAAATGCTTATTGAACACTTACTGCATGCCCAGCTGTGTACTAGGCCCTGGCCGTATATGGACCCTGCCCTCATGAAGTTGACATTCTGATGGGGGACGTGGGCAGAACACAAGAAACAAGGGGCTGAAATAGAAGATAGCAGAGGCCTGCTTTAGGTGGAGTGGTCAAGACAGGCTTCTTGGAGGAGGTGGCATTTCAGTTAATATCTAAAGGAACTGAAGAGCCAGCTCTGTGAGGGGTGGGGTGGGGGAGAGTGTTCTAGGCAGAGGAAGCAGCACCAGCAAAGCCTTGACTTGTTTGGCAAACTGTATGCCAGGGTGAAATGGCAACAGAGAAAGGACCAGATGCAGCTGGAGAGGTAGCGGGGCTCCATGCATCAGGGCCCTGCAGGGTCTGCCCAAAAGCTGGCTTCCTTCTGAAAACACTGGGCAGCCATAGACGGTTCCTGTGCACAGGAAGGATTTGATGTGGATTTGAGAGGCAGCAATGGAGACAGAGGAGAGCCTTGGGGTGTATTTTGGAGCTGGAATCACTAGGACTTGCTGATGGACTCAAGGAGGACTACCAGGGGTCTGGCCTGAACAAATAGTGATGGTTGTGTCGTTTGCTCAGATGGGAAGAGCCAGAGGAGGTGGGAATCCAGGGTTCCCTGGAGATGCCAGGTGCCTGGAGTCTGGGTCTTAGGGAAGTACGGGCTATGAAGGTAGGAGTTGAGAGCAGGACCCTGGCATTTAAATCTGGGGGACCTTCAGGGTTCAGCAAGGGGAGAGGGAGGAGCGACAGTCTCAGAACCGTGTCCATTGAAACCCCGACATTTCTGGGCCACGTGGAGAGGAGGAGTGGCAGGCAGCGGGGACAGAGGGAGAAGGCAGGACAGAGCAGTGTCTAGGGAAGCGAGGGGTGTTCCTGGCCGCCCAGCCCTAGGGAAAGCTGAGTTCACTGAGACAAGCCCATGGTTCAGAGAAGCTTCTGTGGGGCTCAGGGAGGTGGGAGCAGCCCGTGGAGGGCTTCGGCCATGCAAACAGACAGGTGAGAAAATGGAGGCCAAGAGACCAAAGAGGGAAGTCAACCCGCCATGCACCATTTTTGAGCTGTCTTGTATGTTTGATTAGCAGAGAAAAGGGGGTACAAAGAGAGGTGTGTGGTGACCTAGCTGCACAGGAAAAGAGAGGAAACTGCCACCATGTGGGGCACTTCACGTGAACTCAGCTCTCCTTTTGTCTTTACCCCAGGCCTCCAGAGGAAGGCGGCCCCATTCATCCATTTGCCTTTGTGTGAGCTTTCTCTAGAGAAAGTGCAAAACAGAGGCCAGGCACGGTGGCTCACACATGTAATCCCAGCACTTTCAGAGGTCAAGGCGGGCGGATCACAAGGTCAGGAGTTCAAGACCAGCCTGGCCAGCATGGTGAAACCCCATCTCTACTAAAGATACAAAAAATTAGCTGAGCGTGGTAGCGGGTGCCTGTAATCCCAGCTACTCAAGAGGCTGAGGCAGGAGAATCGCTTGAACCTTGGAGGTGGAGGTGGTAGTGAGCTGAGATCGTGCCATTACACTCCAGCCTGGGTGACAGAGCGAGACTCCTCCTCAAAAAAAAAAATGGAAAGTGTAGAACAGGATGGGAGTTCTGGCTACTTGATTGTTTTCATTTCTTCTGGGATCCAGGAAGGCAGAAATTACTTTCCTGGAAGAACCCGGAGAAAGGGCAGCCTATCTGAGATCTGGGAGGAGAGTCACTTACCCCTGTGCTTGGACGTGTCTTTGTGGTGGAAATTCAGGAACTGGGCTGTTCTCTCCAAGTCAGTCGCTGCCTCCTGGGTCCCCTGCAACCTGGAGACAGGGGCTTTGCATTTAGTTCCTGGTTCTGTGAATAAAGTGTTTCTGTTCTCACTTAGCCCTGGGGCAAGAAGCTTAGACATGACTTTTAGACCTGGAAGATCTTTCAGAAATTCTGTAATTCTCTAGCTATGCTCCCTTGAAGAAGCAGCATGGAGGCCTGCCCTCAATTAAAAAAAAGGGTTTCACCTGCCCTCAGTGAAAAAAGGGTTCTTTCCTCAACTCCCAGGAAAAATTAGATCATAGATACATTTTCTCAGTTTTAGGTCTTCCACTAAAATTTAAAAAGACTTTTTTGGGCTGGGCATGGTAGCTCACACCTGTAACCCCAGCACTTTGAAAGGGCAAAGCCGGTGAATCACCTGAGGTCAGGAGTTGGAGACCAGCCTGGCCAACATGGTGAAACCCCATCTCTACTACAAATACACAGATTAGTCCGGTGTGGTGGCGGGCACCTGTAATCCCAGCTACTTGGGAGGCTGATGCAGGAGAATCCCTTGAACCTAGGAGGTAGAGGTTGCAGAGAGCCGAGATTGTGCCACTGCACTCTAGCCTGGGTGACAGAGCGAGACTCCCTCTCAAAAACCAAAAAAGACTTTGTAAAACTCATGAACATTTTCTAACATATGCAGAAGAAGAAAGTAGTGTAATAACCTCCCATTGCCATTACCTGGCTTCAGTAATTATCAAAAGATTTTCTAGTAAGTCTTCAGCCCTTGGCATCTGCTTCCCCACTCCCAACCAATGAAGGTAACAGTGAGCATTAACAGAAAAACCATTAATTTAAAAGACTTTAGTACATGTGACTTGCAATGTGGAGATCACCAAACAAAATATATTTTCTGGCCAGGTGTAGTGGCTCACGCCTGTAATCCCAGCACTTTGGGAGGCCAACGTGGGCAGATCATGAGGTCAAGAGATCAAGGCCATCCTGGTCAACATGGTGAAACCCCATCTCTATTAAAAATACAAAAAAATTAGCCAGGTGTGGTGGCGTGCGCCTGTAATCCCAGCTACTTGGGAGGCTGAGGCAGGAGAATCTCTTGAACCTGGGAGCTGGAGGTTGCAGGGAGCCAAGATTGAGCCACTGCACTCCAGCCTGGCGACCAAGCGAGACTCTGTCTCAAAAATATATATACGTACATATATATATATATATGTATATTTGCTAATAACATTATATCTTATTCATATGCCATAATTAAAGAATCCACAAATTCCAGTACAAGTTTTAGAAATAATTATGTCATTTTCAGACTAGGGGATTTGGGGCTATCAAGTTTTATAACTGGCCACAAGCTCACATGGAGAATTGGGAACAGGGCCAGAATGGAATTTGAATTTAAGCTTCCTATTCCCATGTGGGGTCCAGCCCCTGAATGTCACACAGTCTCCTCCTGGGCTATGCCTGGGGCTAGGTAAGGGCTAGATTCAGGAATGAAGAATGTTGGGAAAACACAGGAAGCTTTCAAGATTCCCAAGTCCCCCTCGGACTAAAGAGTAGTAACTGTTGCTATCAGGCCTGTTTCGCGTTTGTTGCCCAGGCTGGAGTGCAATGGCGCCTTCTGGGCTCACTGCAGCCTCCGCCTCCTGGGTTCAAGCGATTCTCCTGCCTCAGTCTCCTGAGTAGCTGGGATTACAGGTACCCGCCTCCACATCTGGCTTTTTGTATTTTTAGTAGAGACAGGGTTTTCACCATGTTGGCCAGGCTGGTCTTGAACTCCTGACCTCAGGTGATCTGCCCTCCTCGGCCTCCTAAAGTGCTGGGATTATGAGAGTGAACCACCGCTCCCGGGACTATCAGTCCTGTTTTCTGCTGGGTATAACAACAGGACAGACATTTCTCCTCTTTTCTCAGTCTCATCTTAGCTGTCTGATATTTGAGCCTTTCCTCTGAAACTGCCTCCCTAGGCCTTCCCGAGTCCCCTGCAGGTTCCTCCTCACCACCTTCAGCTGATCTCAGGCGGCCATCTCGGTTAACTGCATCCCCAGATCTCCGCCCCCCACCCTCTTTCAGTGTTGATCCACTAACCACTTCCCTAGATCCAACCACCCACCTCCTCCCGAAAAAGGCACCTCCCCTCCTGACAAACCACCCAGCCTTCAGGACCCAGCTCTAGCTGTTCCCCAGGCAACATCACTTGAAGGGCCAGCCAGCACTTCGTACCCTCCGGATGCAACGCGCACAACACTTCATTCAGGGTACCCTTACTGAGCTGATTCCCAGAAGCCTCCACAGCTGAGGGCCACGGAAGAGGCATAGAGGATTCCTAGTTATCCCATGATAGGGTGAGGACTCATAGCACCTGCAGAAGGAGCTGTGCCCTGAACTGGGCGTGGACAAATGCTGCCTGGGGTCATCTATGCATCAGCAGGAGGTGGCTTTTGGCTTTTGACAGTTGAACTGGAATTTAGGGAAGGGTTGAGGAAGGCATTTCAAAGGGAGGAATACAGCAAGCATGAACCCCACCCCACCTCTGAGGCACAAGACACATGGGCTTTTCAGGAATGGAAGTTTGCTGTGGTGGTGGACAGTGGGTGTGGGCAGGGAGCAGCTAGGAAGTGTGGCTGGAGGGTGGGGTGGGGCCAGAAGGGCTCCTGTGCTCTGCGGGGAGCTGCCATCAGACCCCAGGCTGCACCAGCCCTTCCCCTAGGCTGTGTGCCCCACCTGGGGGGCTTCCCCCCAGCTTAACTTCCTTCTCCTTGCCCACTCTTGTCAGTCAGACCGCAGTTACTAAGTGAGCCTACCCCAGATTACCCACTCCCCAGGCTTTCCCTCCCCCAGGATTTAAGAGACTCTGAATGTAACAAAATGAAAGAAATTGAAAATAAGTGAATGGGGGGAAAATGAGACATTTCCTTGGTCCCTGAGGCTGAAGTGAGAATTCCTGCTGGAGCTGGGAAGGAAGCTGAAGTCTTCTGTCTGTTCCATATCCTGTTGCTGTTCCTTCGCCTGTTTACTAGTCTTGTAAGGACTAAGCTCTGCTTTAATCATGATCACAC